TAAAAATACAAGTCATTCCCCAGTTGATAAATGGTCAAAGGATATGAAAAAGCAGTTTTCAGACAAAAAAATCAAAGCTATCTATAGCCATATAAAAATTATCTAAATCACTATTGATTATCAAAACACAAATTAAATCAATTCTGAGGTACCACCTCACCTATCAGATTGGTTAATGTGACAGAAAAGGAAAATGTTGGATGTTGGAGAGGATATGGGAAAACTGGGACACTAATGAACTGTTGATGGAGTTGTAAACTGGTCCAACCATTCTGGAGCACAATTTGGAACTATGCCAAAAGGGTTGTAAAACCACATACCCTTTTATCCAGCAGTACCACTGATAAGTATATATCCCAATGATATAAAAAACGGTAAAGGAAAAGGACCTATTTGTACAAAAATACTTACAGCAGCTCTTTTTGTGGTGGTTAAGAACTGAAAATCAAAGGGATATCCATCAATTGGGGAATGATAAAACAAGTTGTGGTATGTGATTCTAATGGAATATTATTGTGGTATAAGAAATAACAAGCATGATGGTCTCAGAAAAATCTGGAAAGACTTTCATGAATTGACACATGGTGAAGTGAACAGAACCAGGAAACACCGTACACAGGAACAGCAATATTGTCTGATGAAGAATTGTGAATAATTTAACTATTCTTAGTAATACAATGATCCAAGACAATCCCAAAGGACTAATGATGAAGCATGCTATCCACCTCCAGAGAAAGAATTGATATTGTTTGAATATAGACTGAAGCACACTATTTTTCACTTTCATTTTTTTCTTTTATTTAAATCTTCTTGTACAAAATGACTAATATGGAAATGTTTTCCATGATTGCACATGCATAACCTACATCTGATTCCTTGCTGTCTCAGGAATGGGGGTGGGGAAAGAGAAAGGAAAGCATAGCATTTGGAACTCAAAACTAAATAAAAATGTTGAAAATTGAAAAAAAAAGGACATGTACATGAGTACACTACAAAACAATAATGGCATGAGAAAGGTTTAGACAACAAGCTTTAAGAAATTCCAAGAAAGAGAAATCACTATCAGTTCAGGAAAGTAAACCAAAGAGTGCTGTAAATGGAGGCACCTGAGCAGAACCTTGAAAAAAAGAGAAAACATAGTTGTTTTGAATCGAGTGAGATAATTGGGTTTGTTGAGCATAAAGGAAATAGCATTTAATTGAGCTTGATTTTTTCCTATGAAGTTAGCTGAATGATTTCCACATTTTTGAAATCTAGATTTTTCATTTAATTTTGCTGTAGGTACACCCACTTGAAATTCTATATCCAATTGGTGGGAGTGAGGAGAGGGGGGGAGAGAAAGTGTGGTGAGTTACTGTGTAGAATTCAACCAGCCACAATATCAATGTCAATTAAATTGAGGAAGAGCTATGTACTGCCCCTTCTCTCAACCTCTCTCCATGGAATAAGATTGCAATTACTTATTTGCAACTGTATTCCTATCTCCAATTAAATACTATGTAAATGTAATCATTTTGACTGATCTAAAAGCTAACTCATTTATGAGTAGAGTTGTGTCCTGGTTTTTGTTTTTCTCTTGAGTAAAATATACCTTTTGCACCTTCATTCACAAGGAGAAAGACATCCTTTCCAGCTCTTCACTGAAACTTTAAAACCAAGACATAATGTGAGTATATTGCGAATAGCAATAATATATTACAGCAAGATAATTATGTTCCATTATGTAAGTAAAGCCTTGATGCATTTCTCCCATACACACAGATCTGAGTCCCTTTCTTCATATGATTCACAGTTCATTCATCTCGTCTTTTGAAGTGGCACTACACCACAGCTGTTCAGAATATAAACTTTCCTGAATTGCAAATGGAACAACCCAGTTTCTTCATCCTCACATGAGAAGTAGCCAGACCATGTAAGAAAGGGTATCTATTTTTCCCAATATCAAGTGTTAATATGCCAGAACAGCATATCCATTGGGGGCACTTGTGTGGGGGTGAGAGGTATGGTGATGAGGGAAAGAGCAAAGGCAATTATGTTTTTAGTTAGAATCATTTCATAAAAAATGAAGAACTTTTAAATAGAAATCTGAAACAAATCCATAACTGCAGTTATCTAAACAAGAAAGTTTTAAAAAAAATCTGTTAATTTTCTCTCTACTCAAATTATTTTTTGATACAAATAATTCTGTAAATGACAATTTTAGAGTATTTAATTCAGTCATGTTCTCAATGAAACACAGCATGGCAGAGCGACTAGAGGGCTAGTCTCAAAGACAGAAAGACTTGGATTTAAGTTCTGTCTTTGACACTTTCTGGCTGTGTATCTGGGCAAGTCATTTACCTTCTAATGTTCTTTAAGTGGCAAAGAGAGTGCCAACCTGCATTGGGACAAGGATTTTCCACCCCTGGAAGCTCTCCACATGAAAGAAATCCCAGTTCCAGTTTGCAAACCTAATTCATCCTCAACAGGTTATCTGCATTAATGCCTCAGTATTATGCAAGAAGCATACACACTGAACACCATCTAAAGTGGTTGCCTCCTTTACACCCTATGTAACTCAAAAGCAAAAGATCAAAGAGGGTTTTAAATGGTAATAAGTTAGCTATGCTTTTTCAGTATATGTATGTTCAAATCCCTGTTGCAGGGGTTTTTTAAAGCACCTGAAAAATAGAAATGATTGGGGAGGGGGGTTTGTCAGGGAAGAGAATTAATAGTGCCATATTTCACTATACTTTTTGTACTCTTATATTAACTTTAAAGATTAATACAAAGCTGTTACTTACATAAGACTATCAATCTTCTTGAAAGCAATTCTTATGTAAACCAAAAGCCTTTTTAACAGATTTACAGTAGTATTCTAAGAAACTTAACCTCCACACCTAACTTTTCAAATGACCCAATTCTTCAAAGTTTACACCCATTTCTTTATTGTTTAAAGTAAAAAGAAATAAAATTTTCAATTCAATTATAGGTTCTATCATATTAGGTTAATTGTCATCACAGATCTTCCATTTTAAAGAATCTTTCAAATATGAATAGAAAACAAACATACTGACAGTCTACAGACAAAAGAAATAGGCTTTCTGGATCAGAAAGGTGGATACAATCTATTAAACCTGTATGATAAATTCTTAAATGGAAGTAGTCATGTCAAACATAAATTCTATTCTATCAAAATGACCCTATTGTGCCAATTGCTTGTGGAAAAAATATTAAAGAAAATTTAAATTAAGGGACATTATTAGCTGTGTAATGATCTGTTCAGCATTTTCTGTGAAAGATTAGATAATGCAGCCAAAAATAAGATATGTTAGAATACACACAAGCATGCACATGCACACACACACACATACACACAAACACACACACAAGAACCAATGACAAACAGGCATTTTCGGTGTGCATTTATACCTAGCAATACCAGTTCCTATTACAAGGGGGTGCCCCCCAACCTTGTACATACAGCAACATATTTGGGAAAGACCCTGGCAAATCTTTATATTAGTTACATTACCGCAACAAACATGCATGTTCTGTTTGAAATATGAGCTGAAATTCACACTTTATGGAGTGAATATTATTATTTATCAGAGGCTTTATCTAAAGCAAATACTTGGACTCTGTTTTAAGCACTGACAATGTTGATCCATGTTAATTTGTCATAATACTCTTTGCATACTGAAATCTTTGGGGTCTTACTTATGTAAATGCAGTCTTAAAAGGGGACCCTTAGGTAGATTTTTTTTTAGCCACTCAGAATTGGATAGATTTACAGAATTACAAAGAAAAATGACACAAAGTCCTGTTTGAATTCAAATTAAGCAATCTAACTACTGTGAAAACATATGTTAAAAAGCTTCATTTTCCTCAACAACCCAACTGTCATGATAAATATATTCTCTTAACTATCGAAAGCATCAGCAGTATCCCTGACTGAAAAGGCAGAGGGAGAGAAATAGCGCTTTGAACCCCACCACAACAGTTTAAATAGCGCATGCCAATAAATGATTCATTACATCCTTGAGAATTTTCTGTATTGAATAAATTTCCCAAGTCCTTAGTTCCTTGTAACATTTCCACTGTACGAGCAGCACAAGAGTTAAACACTCATGGGCACATACACACAGTCTTAACAGGCTCAAAATTCCAACATGCACACCCTGAGTATACAAGCGAATTCTATTACATAAGTCAAGTTCTCCTCTTCTACGTAGCTAGAAAGAAAGAAAGAAAGAAAGAAAGAAAGAAAGAAAGAAAGAAAGAAAAAGAAAAAACAGGCCAGCTAACTAATGTTCCTAAAATGAATCAAGTAGGGGACTGACAGTTCTGGTTAAGAAATAGGGATGTAGTTCAGCAGCTGCTCCGCAACTTTGGATGACTCCTTGCCCCGATTGTAGGGACGCGCGCGCGGAGCTGCGTACCTTCACCTAGGTGTTGCTCAAGTCTCAGATCTCGATTCACTATTCCCCCCCGCCCCCACCGAAACGCAAATCGATTAAGATGATCCACTGGAAGACTGAACTTATCTCTGCTCTGCTCCACTTTAAATAACGGGGCAAAAAAAAAAAAAAAAGCAAAATCAAGATGCTGTAAGAGTTATTTTCGCCTAGGCACCACGTCCTTCCAAGTCAGAAATCTGTCACCTGGAAGAAAGTAAACGACCCAGTAGGCGTCGTGGGGGACCCCCAGTTGCGATTCGCCATTAGGTCAGTCCTTTCGGGGTACCCCATTGTGACAAAGGCAGTCCGCTCACTGTCTCCCATTTCCATCTCCACCCTACTATGCGCGGTCCTGGTGCAAGCAGCTCGAGGAGAAGAGATGGAGCAATCCTTTTCTTCACTCTCCCCAGCTCTGTTGTTTCTACTCCGGTGAAGAAAGACCTTTCCCTCCCGAGCTGAAAACTTTTTTTCTTCCAGATAAAAACGCGCAAATGCAAGAAGGGTCAGTCCACCCGGGCACCACCCTTTCCCACAGCCCTGGGCTCTTGGCCCCTTCCTTACCTGGTGGCCGGGACCTCAGGGCACTGCAGGTACCTCCGCCTTTTCAGGACCTTTCCGGTGCCCTCAACAAGGTGGCCAGACTCGACACCCCACTTTCTGCCTCCTCCTCCCGTCCTAGGCAGGATCAGCGAGAAAATGACCTAGGACCAAGATGCCCGACCAGATTCACGCTTTGTAGACTCCGGTTCATGATCGAACCCGAAGCTCTGTAGGGTCCGCGGGCACAGACTAAGGAAAGAAGGGGAACCAGTCCCCCACCCGGGGTGTGGGCTCCAGGTCCGGTGAGCGCTCTGCCGGCAGGCAGCGGCGGCCGCCGCGTCACATGCCTTCTTCTCCCGGGCAGCGGCACCTGTCCAAGCAGCCGCGCCGGCTCCGCGCTACCACCCCCGGGCTTGCTGGGATCCCTTCCCCGCAGCGCTTCCTTGCCTTTTCTTTTCGCACAGTCTTTTATTCCTCAATCTCTTTCTCTTCTCACTCCTTTTCTTTTTCTATCTCTCCTTCTTAAATTTTTCTTCCTCTTCTATTCCCAAAGCAGGCACAAGACACTGGAAGTGGAAGGAGGAGAGTCTTTTTCACCACCCACCCGTCCACTCCCCACCAACTCTTCCTTCGCCCAGGGGTGGCTGTTTTCCTCAGTGCTGCTACCACCCCCTTTCTATTCTTCTTCCCTTTCTTCCTGCTCCTCTTCCTCTTCTTCCTCCTCTTGCTGCAGCTGCCTTCCCTCAGCTCCCTCACTGCCTAACGCCGGTGTTACACACTGGCTGCCTACTTGAGACCAAAACCTGTCCTGGCTACTGAGCATGCCCAGTTGCCCTAGTGGAACCACACTAACCTCCCATGTGCTGTGAGATTCCATTTCTCCCTGTTTTAGCGGCCGCCTGGGAAGGAGATTGGGAAAGCTCTGAGAGTCCACCAAGGTGATATGCTTCCTGGAAGCCATGAGAAAAGTGGGAAGGGGAAAATAGGGTCATCAATCAGTCACTCGGAATCACACCTGTGTAACCTGTTGTGCTTCTGGCTACCGCAAGTGCATATGACTTTTTCGAGATTGTTTAAGAGAATGTTGAGGAAAATACAATATCTGGGACTTTTTTTTTTAATGGCTTCGATCTTGGTGACAATATTATCCATCTGGAAGCCTAGAACCGAAGATCATACTGTAATGTCTAGTATTTTATGATTCGTTGAACAGTGGGTAGCAGGCAGAAAATTATTAGAATTAGACAATTTATGGTATAGTAGAAGAAAGCCCTGAATTTGGAATTGGAGTTTAGTCCAAGTTCTGTTAATAGCTGTGAGGTATCAGACAAGTAACAACCACTTCGGGCCTCAGCTATCCCATCTATGAAATGGGGAGGTTGGACTAAATCATCTCCGTCATTACTTTTAAGCTCACATTCTATGATTCTGGGCCTTGGTTTTTCCTTTTTGGAACCTTATGCTCCAAAAGGGTAATGGGACAAACATGAAAATGACAGAACATGTATGCATATGTAGACTGGAGTAAAGTTGTTTTTTGAAGATATGTTGATAAAGCTAGAAACTCAAAATGGTGATATGACTCGGGAAATATGGCAAACTTATAAAATGCAATTGCAAACAGTTTTTGTAATAAACAAAAATGAAAATCTGCTGAAGAAAAGAATGTGGCTGCACAAGGAACTCTTTGTTGAGCTCAAATTTTAAATAACATAGATAAAAGTAAGGTGCAGGATCACATAAAAAGGCAAGTATAAAATATTGTCATAAACCTAAGGAGAGAATCAAAAGCTGCAAGTTAAGAGCTGAAACCTGCTAAAAATTGGAAAAAAATTAAAAAACTCATAAGTGCATATTATGTTGTCATTATTGTTTAAGTTATGTTCAGAATAAGAAGATTAATAAGAAAGGGACGGACATTCTTTGGAAAAGAGGACACAAAGATTGTTTAAGTCCTGTTTTTGCCCCAATCTTCTGTCTTCTTCAGGAAAAAAAGAATGCTCTGTCAGCTAGAAAGAGCAGAATAAGTGACATTAAAGGAGAATTGAGTGTAAAATAGGGGAGAAATGAGTACTAGAGCACAGTAGCTATTTTGAGTCACTGAATGTTTCAAGAGTCTATTCTCAAACAAATTAAATGCTAAAATCTTGGGGAAAAAATACATAAATGATTGAGAAACCATTATCAGACTTTTTATTGAGAAATCATGGAATATTTAGGAGATCCTAGATTCTTTTATATGGGAAACATACTTTTTAAAAAAGATAAAAGTGGATTCTGGAGTGTATAGACTTTCGATTAATAGAAAATATTTTAAACGGATATCCATCAATCTAGCACCTGGCACTTGTGGCCATCTAGTCCAATTCCCTCATCTAATTGCTAAGGAGATTGAGGCAGAGGGAGTGTCAGTGATTTGCCAAGTTCCCACTAGCAAAGCGTCAATGGTAAGTTGTGATCCTAGATTCTGTGCTCCTTCTACTGTACCACAATGAATCCTTTATCTAAGGGCCGTTTAAAGACAATTTATGAAAGAAAGGTTATCACTAAGAGCTAAAGTAGATTAATTAAGAACAAATCTTAATACACTAATCTAATTTCCTTTATTTAATAGACTTGCTAGACTTGTAAATTAAGGGAATACTTTACATATGGAAGGTTTTCATTTCTTCAAAACATTTGACAAAGTTGATTATGATGGGCTAGTGGACAAAATTAAGATGGGAAATTAATAGTATAGTTAGATGAAGTTGTAGTTGATTGAACAATAGAACTCAGAACTATTATTCAAGTCCATCATCATCCTTGAGGGAATTTTTTTTTTTTGGTGCTATGCCAAAGCATTTTGTCCTTAATCCTTCCAGGTCTAAATTTTTATCATGACTTAATAAATAAATGTTTGTTGAATTGAACTGAATCTCCATGGAGACATATAATAATAATAATAATATAATTTAATGGGACAACTCACATTTATACATTGCTTCACAGTAAAATGTAAAGTCCTACACAAAGACCAAAACAGTTCAGTTGTATAAGTTCAGGAAAAAATATTTCATAATTAATTTAATGCTGATTTATTAAGTGTCTATTTACAAAAAGATTTTTTTGATAAAGAGATTTTTCTAGGTGCTGTAGGTGATAAGATTTTTATGCAATCACTTTTATTTTTAATTTTTGTATATTGAAATGTTTGCTGATGATTGTTAAATTCACAAGAAGCAAGAGAATTAAATTTTTAAAAATGGTTGGCTCAATCTCTATCCTCAATGTGTGGCAGACTTTGTTTGATTATTATTATTAATGAGAAAAAGAGCCAGGAGAAAGAAGAATGTCCATCAAGACTGTTATGATACATTGTGTGTTGAATCTCATCTCACCATGATATTGAAAATATTGTTATCTTGTTATTTCTTCTATTGATTAGAAAGATGACCCCACATATATGTGGCAGACCAGAAAAGCTTATTCCTTTCTGGAATCTGGAATGGAGTGTGAGGGCTCAATGTAAACCAGGAGCACAAGTTATTTCATCCACCATGGTGGTTCATAGGAGCTACATGAACCCAGAGGATACAACTGTCCAGAAGCAAGAGGCACCACAAGGCCCAATATAATCATGCAACAACTTTAGTGGTAACCATATGGCATGTAATTTGAACATGGGGAAGTGCCTGAAAAATTTCAAATGTAAGTGCACCAGCTTAGCAGCCAAGATCACCAGTACCTACTTTACGGGTGGCTTTGAAAAACTCCTGGTTGAAGTATAGTCCATAGTTTCATTGACACTGGTTATGATTCTCAGTGGCCTTGAAGGACCAATTAAGTGCCTGACTTTTGATGAATGGTATATCCTGGCAGGAAGCAATCACAGTTTTATCTTGAGTGAAAGCATGGTAGGGGAATATGAGCAATGATGTCTGATGGTGTTCAAACATTCAAGGGAAATGTTCTATGTGGCCTTTCTCTTCCTTTAGGTAATCAGTGCCTTTTATGGTAAGAAAGGACCACATATATAGTTTCTTGACTGGGATCAGTTTGACAGTGATGAAAGTCAATGGCAGAGGTGACACAATACTGTCCTTCCAGAGATACTAGATGGGCACAAAGCTTGTAAACAGTAAAGTGCTATATATTTTTTGCAAGCAATACAAAGTGTAACATTTAAAATGTACACAGCTCAAATATCCATATTTGTCTAGTTTATTTTGTGGATTATCTTATAGCATAATTTGAATCCATATTTATCTGCTGTGCACCTTCAATATATACCCAGAAGTTTTGGGGCTCAATCCATCTCCTCTGGTGAATATATACTCAGCAGATAAAAAAAACAATAATTTAAATGGTTTGAATAAGAGGTACATAATTAGAATGGAGCCTATGCTCTTTCCCATCATAGATATATTTCAGAGTTACACATATAGTATTTTTGGAATATCTATTGTTTGAAACATTAATATTGATAATTAAGTTGAATGTATTGTTAGCTGAATTTGATATTTCCTACTGTATTACTATCAATTTGTAGAGCAGTTCACATGAGTCATATCAGCCTTTACTGTACCAAGGACATGTGAAACCTTTCTTTTACCTTGGTTAAAATCTCTGTTATTAGGTTTCCATCCCATTTTTACAAAGAAGTTTAGTGATATAATTTGTAATCTTTAATTTTATTTGGAGCTTAAAATATTCTCTGTATGACTTCTTTGAAAGACCTGTTAGATTTACTCTTCTATTTTATGAGGTAGGAAAAAACAGTAATTTTAGTGGTTTTAATAAGAATGTTTTTTTTATTAAGATGATTATTTTTTAAAGATTGGGTGAGTCTATGTTTTTTTTTAACCTAGACTGGAAGTGAAGTGGCCATCTCATGGCTAATCCCACCTCTGACTGGCTTGGAAGTTTTGACTTGCTCTTTTTCTGACATGGATCAGTTTGCACCTCCTTAGGCAGCCTGGTGGATTGCCCTTCCTGAGGCTCTTCATATTATTGCCACACCTTTTGGGGACTCCCAATTGGTTTAACCCTCCTGAAACTTAGAACTTCAGAGTTCCAGTGATCCACCAATATTAGCAGCACCAGCAGCAGGATGAGAAGAGTACACCACCACGTCTATCCTAAAATGCTTTTGATAATAACTCATATGAAGAAATAGTTTTAATTTAGGCTATGTAAAATCTCTAAGAAATCTCAATTCCTACTTCATATTTCTATACCTTCAACATTGTCTGTACTTCCTCCAATGACATGAATGGAAACTTCTCTGTGATAATAGTAAATTGTCTT